AAAGAAAGAAGAGAAGGGAGAAAGAGACAGAGAAAGAAGAAGTCTTGAGACGGTGAGCAGGAAGATGTGTCGAACTGGTTTCAGACCTCTTTTGGGGCCGGTTATGGGGCTACCTAGTTCTTAAGACATCCAAAAGAAGGGGCTCAAAACAGATTGTACTTGAAACACATGCGGTCCGGAAAGACGTGCGACGGTCCGGAAAAGCAAGCACCCAAAACGTACTCTAATCGTAGCGATTGCGGTCCGGAAAGGCATGCAGCGGTCCGGAAAAGCGAGCACCCAAAACGCACTCTAATTGTAGACATTGCGGTCCGGAAAGATGAGCAGCGGTCCGGAAAAGCAAGCACTCAAAACGTACTCTAATTGTAGACATTGCGGCCCGGAAAGCCATGCAGCGGTCCGGAAAAGCAAGCACCCAAAACGTACTCTAATTGTAGACATTGCGGCCCGGAAAGACATGCAGCGGTCCGGAAAAGCAAGCACCCAAAACGTACTCTAATTGTAGCCATTACGGTCCGGAAAGACCTGCAGCGGTCCGGAAAAGCAAGCACCCAAAAAGTACTCTAATTGTAGATATTGTGGTCCGGAAAGACGTGCAGCGGTCCGGAAAAGGAAGCACCCAAAACGTACTCTAATTGTAGACATTACGGTCCGGAAAGACATGCAGCGGTCCGGAAAAGCAAGCACCCAAAAAGTACTCTAATTGTAGATATTGTGGTCCGGAAAGACGTGCAGCGGTCCGGAAAAGGAAGCACCCAAAACGTACTCTAATTGTAGACATTACGGTCCGGAAAGACATGCAGCGGTCCGGAAAAGCAAGCACCCAAAACGTAGTCTAATTGTAGCCATTGTGGTCCGGAAAGACCTGTAGCGGTCCGGAAAAGCAAGCACCCAAAAAGTACTCTAATTGTAGATATCGCGGTCCGGAGACAGAGAGAGGAAGAGGGAGAGGAGAGAGAGAGCGTTGTAAATGGTGAGCAGCGGGTGGTTTCAGAGTACGTTTTGGGTGCTTGCTTTTCCGGACCGCTGCACGTCTTTCCGGACCGCCATATCTACAATTAGAGTACTTTTTGGGTGCTTGCTTTTCCGGACTGCTGCAGGTCTTTCCGGACCACAATGGCTACAATTAGAGTACGTTTTGGGTGCTTGCTTTTCCGGACCGCTGCAGGTCTTTCCGGACCGCGATATCTACAATTAGAGTACTTTTTTGGTGCTTGCTTTTCCGGACCGCTGCAGGTCTTTCCGGACCACAATGGCTACAATTAGAGTACGTTTTGGGTGCTTGCTTTTCCGGACCGCTGCAGGTCTTTCCGGACCACAATGGCTACAATTAGAGTACGTTTTGGGTGCTTGCTTTTCCGGACCGCTGCAGGTCTTTCCGGACCGCGATATCTACAATTAGAGTACGTTTTGGGTGCTTGCTTTTCCGGACCGCTGCATGTCTTTCCGGGCCGCAATGTCTACAATTAGAGCACGTTTTGGGTGCTTGCTTTTCCGGACCGCTGCATGTCTTTCCGGGCCGCAATGTCTACAATTAGAGTACGGTTTGGGTGCTTGCTTTTCCGGACCGCTGCTCATCTTTCCGGACCGCAATGTCTACAATTAGAGTGCGTTTTGGGTGCTCGCTTTTCCGGACCGCTGCATGCCTTTCCGGACCGCAATCGCTACGATTAGAGTACGTTTTGGGTGCTTGCTTTTTTTTTCCGGACCGTTGCGCGTCTTTCCGGACCGCATGTGTTTCAAGTACAATCTGTTTTGAGCCCCTTCTTTTGGATGTCTTAAGAACTAGGTAGCCCCATAACCGGCCCCAAAAGAGGTCTGAAACCAGTTCGACACATCTTCCTGCTCACCGTCTCAAGACTTCTTCTTTCTCTCTGTCTCTTTCTCCCTTCTCTTCTTTCTTTTCCCGTTTTTCCCTGTTTTTTCTCCAAAGCTGAGGTAGCCTACGGACAAAAAGAGGTCTGAAACCACTCTGAAACACCCCGCTGCTCACCATTTACAACGCTCTCTCTCTCCTCTCCCTCTTCCTCTCTCTGTCTCTCTCTCTCTCTCTCGCCTTCTGTTTGTCTCCATCTTCCATCTTCCTCTCTCTCTCTCTCTATCTCTCTCTCTCTCTCTTTCCCTCTTCCTCTCTCTGTCTCTCTCTCTCTCTCTCTCTCTCTCTCTCTTTCTCTACCTTTTCTCTTTCTTTTTTCATCTCCCAAAGCTGGGGTACCGGAAAAACAAGCCCAAAAGAGGTCTGAAACCACTCTGAAACACCTTCCTGCTCACCATCTCCGGACTGCTGCTGCATGTCTTCCAGACCGCGTTGGCTGCTTTATCTCTATCTATCTATTTATCTATCTATCTATCTGCTCCTTTTTCTTTGGATGGCCTATTTACCACCCTGGTTATCTATGTTTATCAACTCGAGATATTAATATTTAAGATCTAAATCAGATACGGTAGTAGTAGTAGTAGTAGTCGTCGTCGTCGTGGTGGTGGTGGTGGTGGTGGTGGTGGTAGTAGTAGTAAAAGTAGTAGTAGTAGTAGTAGTAGTAGTAGTAGTAGTAGTAGGAGTAGTAGTAGTGGTAGTGGGAGTGGTAGTGGTAGTAGTAGTAGTAGTAGTAGTAGGAGGAGTAGTAGTAGTAGTAGTAATAGCAGTAGTAGTAGTAGTAGTAGTTGTTGTTGTAGTAGTAGTAGTAGTAGCGGTAGTAGTGGTAGTAGTGGTAGTAGTAGTAGCAGAAGTAGTAGTAGTAGTAGTAGTAGTCGTGGTGGTGGTGGTGGTGCTGGTGGTGGTAGCGGTAGTAGTGGTAGTAGTGGTAGTAGTGGTACTAGTAGCAGAAGAAGAAGTAGTAGTAGTAGTAGTGGTAGTGGGAGTGGGAGTGGTAGTGGTAGTAGTAGTAGTAGTAGTACCAGTAGTAGTAGTACCAGTAGTAGTAGTACCAGTAGTACCAGTAGTAGTAGTAGTAGTAGTAGTAGTAGTAGTAGTAGTAGTAGTAGTAATAGCAGTAGTAGTAGTAGTAGTAGTAGTAGTAGTAGTAGTAGTAGTAGTGGTAGTGGTAGTAGTAGTAGGAGGAGTAGTAGTAATAGCAGTAGCAGCAGCAGCAGCAGTAGTAGTAGTAGTAGTAGTAGTAGTGGTAGTGGTAGTAGTGGTAGTGGTAGTGGTAGTGGGAGTGGGAGTGGTAGTGGTAGTCGTAGTAGTAGTAGTAGTAGTAGAGTAGTAGTAGTAGTAATAATAGTAGTAGTAGTAGTAGTTGTTGTTGTAGTAGTAGTAGTAATAGTAGTGGTAATGTAGTAGTAGTAGTAGTAGTAGTAGTAGTAGTAGTAGTAGTAGTAGTAGTAGTGGTAGTAGTAGTAGTAGTCGTCGTCGTCGTAGTAGTAGTAATCAAAATGTTAATTAAAATAGTACTTGTAATAATGATAACAATAGTACTTGCGCGTACCTTGGGCCGCCCTTGCGCGAAACTTGCGCGATGCAGGTTTTAGACCATGGGAAAAATGCGAGAATAGGTCCTTTACTAAAAACCTTTCTGGGGTTTTTGGACGGCTCCCATATGATTGTTATGATGATGTTTTTATCATGCTCTTTACTTACGGAGCCCCTGTCCCAAATCATGAAAGGACACGAAATACTTCATTAACAAATTTAAGAAAATAATAGAATAATCACGAACAATCTATGATCTGTTATGATACGTTTAAGATCTTTTTGTGAATTCCAGGGCCCTTCCCAAATCATGGAAAATAATGATGCATTTAAAAATCAGAGAGATCCAACAAAATGGAAGACCGTGCCGAATATTAATAAACCTGAGAAGGGGGGAACGAAAGCCAGCTCTCATAGTGAAAACCCCTGCGCGCAGCAAATTGCCTGCGCGTAAGACCTTCGACATTGAAATCCTCCAGTTGTAGCGTAGCCCTAACTGCACAGAAAGTATTGTGGCAGACATCCTGAAACTCTGTTGGCGGCTTACGTATCTTCAGCCTCTCGGGCAATATATTTTTCTCCATCTATTTGTTTAACTGAGAAACCGGACTGAGGGGAAATCGATACCCTGCTGCAGCAAATTTTCGCGCATAACACCTTCAAAACTGGAGTTCTTCTGTTGGAGCAAACCCGCAAGCATCACGACTGCGCGTAACACCTTCAAAATTAGAGTTCTCCAGTGGTCGGCTTCCTAAAACTCTGTTGGTCAGCTACGCATCTCTAATCTTTTGAGCAACATGTCTCGCTCTATCAATTCCCCTGACTGGCTACTTAGCTCACCCAGGAAAACCCAAACCGAGGGAAAATCGATACCCTACCCCAGCAAATTTCCAGCGCGTAGCTCCTTCTAAATTGGAGTTCTTAAAAGGAACACGCCGTTCTTGGCTTAACATAAGCTCAGAAAAAAGGTTCACCTTTGTATCTTCTGAGCCGCTAGACCACTATTTACTCCAGGCTATGCAAGCAATGGTTTCGCACAGAGAAAGGGTTTGAAAGACTCAAAATGCACATGCACATGTTGGATCTTATAACTTATACTTATAACCATAATATCACTTGCATCTCACTGTTCCGACATTCACTTTTGTTGCTCCAGTATCCTTTGCAAACAACGATCTGTAATGTCGGCGGCAGCTCACCTAGACAATGTGGCAGATCATTGGCAAAAGATAGGCCACTGTTTTACTAGATCCTGGTGGGGGCACCGACAGGCTTCAGATCGCTTGTCAGACCGCGTTTCAATGATTTTTCCGACACGGTTTTCGGATAGCACGCTTTGACGGGTAGACCTTGACTCAAAGACGCCCAAGGACTCCGAGGGACTCCCAAGAACTCCAGCACTTTCTACACCCGTTGTAAGAAAACCCTTCATTGCAGATTGAAAGGCAAGTCTTTATCATTCTTTATCCACAACCAATTTGTCTTGTACAGGTGTTTATTGCGAAGTTCGTGCCTTTGCGAAAAAATGTTGACATCTCAACAGGGCATGGAGTCTATCAATTCACAATTCACATCTACCCAAGACTCACACAGATCGTTGCTGAGGCATCGCTCCTGTTTCTGCGCCCACAATGTTGCGTCGCATTGCCGGCCTTAGTTGGACTCAAAGAGCCAGTGCCTTCGATCTCCGTGGTCCTTGAGATGGGTGTTCCTTTAAAACATAAAAATCCTGGGCCAAAAGTATCCAAATGAGCCAAATGAGTAACACCACATCTAGCCGCAACTGTGATTCTCAACATGGGATTAGGAGCAAAACAGCAGGTTCCTGAGCAAACCTCACAACACAACGTTCGATCAGGAACATCTTTTCTTGATCATTCCGTCAATGGTGCGGAACAATCTTCTACATTGTTGCGTGACCTGTGCCAAATACTCACCAAATTTCACATTGCAGTCTTAGCATCCAAATTTGCTTCTGAATAGGGCTAGGCTCCTGCAGGTGCAAATTCTTTTGCTCTTGTGACATTCCTCACAGTCCCGTCGTATCTGTTGAAAGATTCGGATTCAGTTCGCATCGGTTCGATTTCACAAATGTTTCGGTTCAGGAAGCGTTTCGAAATGTTGAGAACTCGTCCACGCTGCTCTTTTGGGCACAGACGCGATGCTGTCACGACGCTGTCGCCCAGGGTGACCCGGAGCTTCTTTGCCAACTGTCCCTGTCTTGTCCCAGAAATGATATGCAAACTTAGTTAGCACACGTTTACACATATTTATAGACTTAGATACTTAGAGAGACATCTACAGATAGACAAACGAACACTTAGATAGATTGGACTAAACTAGACTAGATTGGATTAGATTGGGTTTAGGTCAGATTAGATAAGATTAATATGAAAATCATGGATATAGATTATAGATTATAGACTATATAGAGGAGATTGGATTGGATTCACTGTTGCACATTGAACGCATGTGTATATATATATATATACACACATCTGCATAATTTACAATAATTCGCACCTCGTCACCTCGTCGTTAATTCGTATGTGTGACGTTTCACCTCGCCTCGTTAAATCTACTTTTGGGATTTCTGGGCTCGTAACCCTGCCAAACCCTAACCCTAACCCTCAGCCAAATGCTGTGGGGCCACAGCAATATGTCTGAATGTGTGAGAAATAACTTTTCGCAGGCTGAAAAGTTTTTTTCTCCACCGGACTTAAAAGGAGCATTGCCACTGCGACCAGACAACCAGAAAAAACTTTTCAGCTTCTGAAAAGTTTTTTCTGACCATTTCCCACTCAAAAGGTAAGCAAATAGACTCACCTCGTAGAAAGTGAATTAGTTAAATCGCCTCGTTAATTTGCTAAGTCTACCTCGTACCTCGTCTGGGCTCGCTCTAAATTGTGCAGACACATATTCTGCACTTATACATTTAATACTGTATTTTCATAGTTCCTACATGTTCTATGCATATTGCCTTTGCTGGCCCCTGTCTTGGAATGTTACACCTGGCTTTACCCACAGACACTTCTGGAGCACACACTCACTTCAATGTTAAACTCGCTTGTGCCGGAAAAGAGCATGTCTGACAGAGTCTGACATGTCATTGACATGTGATTCATTGCATGGGCACATTCCGAGTAGGCCATGGAACGTCGAGTCCAGATCTAAAGCACAACGATTGCACTACTCAAGTTGCTCTGTCAAGTCCATGTCGAGATATGTCGAGTCCATGTCGAGTGAGTCGAGTGGATCTGCCACGGACGTGCTGGACGCAGGGACAGTCGGTCGAGGACCTGGTGCACGGCCCCTCGCCCTGCAGGCCGATGGCTTCTCCATTCTCCAAAGTTCCAAGTTTTTCAAAGAGATATTCAAAAAGAACTCAAAGAGTAAAGAAGTAGAGAAGATTAAAAAAACAAGAAGATGTGTAATTACTCAAAGTACTTCAATCTCCAAGCTGTAAAGGTTTGAAACAACCAGAAGCCATCAGCCGTCACTCGCCAGTGAGGAACTTCAGACTTCAAAAAAAACCGCTTCAGAGCTGTCACATGTGGAACGCTACAGCATCTGGCAGAAATCTGGCATGTGGAACGCTTAAGAAAAAGGTTCTGGATGGTTCTGGTCCACTGGTCCTTTCTTGTGCATTCTATGCAATTGATCGGAAAAGCTGAAAGTCAGCAAATGCTCCTGACCAATGTTGTACATTGCAACACATCTTGCAATGCAAGTAACATATTGTAAAACAATAACTTGATAAAAACATATTGTAATTTGCTAAGCCAACTCGAGACTTTAAGATTTCACAACTGAGCACACTGAGCGCGGACACTCGCATCGATTCACTTATGCTGACAGCCGGACGACACCATCCGCATTCACCTCCGCCAAACGACACGACATCTTCGCACAGGCCAAACAGAATGAAGGTTCAACTAACAGTTTAACATGGTTTCAAAAGGTTAACATGGATAAATATGAATGTGTTGAAGAAACAGAAACTGCAACTGCAGCAACTGGTCCAGAACTTCACCCTGAGTTTCTGAGCCTTGAAGGTCGCAAATACGCACATAGTCTAAACATAGTTGTTCTTTATGTACCAAATTTTGTTCATTTGATTCATTTGATTTCATTTGTATGTCACATTTTGATCCATTTTGCACATTGTTTTTTTTGGGGTCTTCTCACTTTCAGGAGAGTAACGGGGAGATGCACAGCCAAAAGTGGAAGCAGCATATTTCTTCGTTCGGAAGGTTGACAAAGCTGGGGTGCTGAATAAAATGTTTTCGGTCAGGGCCTGTGAAAGTGGCCAAAACCTCACTTTCACTACCACCCTTACCACCCTTACCACCCTTACCACACTTACCACACTTGCCGCACTTGCCACACATGAATACAATTGAATAATTCAAATGCACACCTAAGAAATGTTTTGCGGAAACTCTTTTGACAAATCCATTCATCCATGAAGACCAGCGTCCACAGAGCGCACTGGACACAACCTTCCCGACCAAAAATGGTTGTTGTGAAAACATGTGAAAACGTGTTCTTCATGTGTTTTTTTCACAAATTTCACATGTTTCGCGTTGCACGTAGCCTGCTATGTCTATCTATTTCTCTAAAAATTCGACATGAAGATACTGACGGTGCACGCCGGCAAAGTCCACTTGGTTCACTCGGTCCGTTTGTTTCCCTCGGTTCACTCGGTTCGCTTGGCACGGTGGTATTGTTCGCATTAGTATGGGTCCTTGTGGCATCTTGTGGCATTGTGGCACAGACTTCAGGCACTGGAGGCGCGGATTTCCCAAGTTTTTTTTAACATGGAACCAATTTTCATCTTGTATATAGGAATCACAAGGGGGTTGTATGTTGTGAATAGTATAAGTAATATGCCATTAAATACTAAAATATATTATTACAACATAAATATACAACGAATAGTAGATATAATCATAGGTTTGAAGTTTGAATATACAAGTGTGAGTGAATATTGTGATTCAGAAGATAAGTTTTATAATGTGTAGTTATATGGTTTTGTACAGTCATTGCACTGGATTCAGAATACCTTTGAATCTGCAAAAGTTGATGGAGCTGCCCAGCTTCATTGTTTGTTTTGACAGTTTTTGACGGTTTTGAGCTGTCAAAAGCACATGGTTCAAAGTTTTTCAAGAAATTTCAAAAATGTTCAAGAAAGAAAAACCACTTTGGTTCACAAAACGCTGTGGAGGTTTTTTTGTAAAAAAGGCATGTTCAAGAAAGAGAGTCGGAGTGTTTTTTCCCCTTGTCGTTTCTTTGGATGGAAGAATGAAAGCTGTCTGGTTTGTTGAACATTTCCTCTTGGCACAAGTTGGCACAAGTTGGCACAAGTTGGTGCAAGTCCCTATGTTTTTCGCTCATCTTTTGCATCAACCCTTTCACTTCCTTGGGTTTTGCTTTGCAGGCGATGCAAATCGAAGAAATTGGCAGCGTATGCTTTAGTTACCTCAAATGATAGGCTCCAGTCCTCTGCTCCAAGCAGTGCCAAACAGTTGCATGTTTTCAGCAAATCTCGGAACTGTAGCAACGGTACACCGGCAACCGTACGTTAAAACAGATTCCTCGTCAAATCTTGGAGAAATTTGCCCCTTCCTACGGATGACCACCACTTCCTGGACTGCCACAACAACAGCTGCTTTGATTACGCAACTCACGCAACTTACACAACTTGGACAGCCGCATTACATAAAATACAAATTTGTAGAAGGAAGTTTAGAAGTCAAACTTCCGACAACATGGACAGATGAAAAGCAGAGAAGGGAAGAGGCAGAGGGAAGAGAAAGATTAGAAGAAAGAAGAGTAGAAGAGAAAGATTAGAAGAAAGAAGAGTAGAAGAGAAAGAGTAAGAAGAAAGAAGATGCAGATGCGAGAAAAGGTAGGAAAGTCGCGAAACATTGTGTTTTTCCAATGATTTGGGGCTCCGGAGGGTCGAAAATTAGGCTCGCTAAAGCGGCGGGTGCGGAGCCAGCTGGCCAGATGAGAGATGAAAAATTGCACGCCGTTGTGGCGCGAAGCACATTTCCAAGTCAAAATGTACAAAACACCTGGGTCTCGGAGCACTTTTGGAAGTTGAGATGTCGAAAAAGTGCACGCTGTTGTGGCGCGAAGCACATTTCCAAGTCAAAATGTACAAAACAAACCATGGTCGGACCACTTTTGGAAGTTGAGATGTCGGAAAAGTGCACGCCGTTGTGGCGCGAAGCACCTTTCCAAGTCAAAATGTACAAAGCACACCATGGTCGGACCACTTTTGGAAGTTTAGATGTCGAAAAAGTGCACGCCGTTGTGGCGCGAAGCACATTTCCAAGTCAAAATGTACAAAGCACACCATTGCCGGACCACTTTTGGAAGTTGAGATGTCGAAAAAGTGCACGCCGTTGTGGCGCGAAGCACATTTCCAAGTGAAATGCACAAAACACCACATGTTCGCGCCGCTTTTGGAAGTTTCGATGTGGAAAAAGAGCACGCCGTTGTGGCGCGAAGCACATTTCGAAGTCAAAATGTACAAAGCACACCATGTTCGGACCACTTTTGGAAGTTCTGATGTCGAAAAAGTGCACGCGGTTGTGGCGCGAAGCACATTTCGAAGTGAAAAGGTACAAAACACGACATGTTCGCGCCACTTTTGGAAGTTCCGATGTGGAAAAAGTGCACGCCGTTGTGGTGCGAAGCACATGTCGAAGTCAAAATGTTAAAAGCACTAGGGGTTCGGACCACTTTTGGAGGTTCAGATGTCGCTTCGCGTGGCAGGCGCAAGGGATTGTGCACCTTGTCAAAAGTGAGCAAAACGTGAGGGTTTTTGTAACATTTTCAACTAAAACCACCACTACACCACACTACACCCCAATACATTACACTACACCACAATTACAACTATACTTCACTACATTATACTTAGATAGATAGATAGAATAGAATAGAATAGAATAGAATGAATAGATAGAGAGAGAGATAGAGAGAGAGAGAGAGAGATAGATAGATGGATAGACAGATAGATAGATGGATAGATGGATAGATAGATAGAAAACTAGACAGCTAGATAGATAGATAGGGAGATAGATAGACAGAGAGATAAATAGATAGTTAGACAGATAGATCAGTAGGTAGGTAGGTAGATAATCAGAGAAAGATAGAGAAACAGAAAGAAAAAGATAGAAAGAGAAAAAAGAGAGAGAGAGAGAGATCAAGCACCTTTCAGTCCATCAGTGGCTTCGCTCTGCCATCCCTGATTCACAACAACCAATCTCTCCTATAGGTTTCCTATTTTTGAAACTTCCGCCACCGCCTTGTGCGGTACTACTGGTAGCACTATAAAATCTACATCAAACTACACTCCGAGTACACTCCTCCAATCTTCCGCGCCTCAACTTGTGGGGACTGACTCCTGCAGGAGCCTTGATTCTTGCAGCTGCCACAACCACCTGAGTGGAATTCTCAATACGGGCAGCATGGAATCGGTGATACAATTTGAACAACATGAATGCAGCATGACATCAAAGGTGAGGAGAAACGAATAGATTCCTTTGAACTTTGGCATTTCAGGCATGTCAGGCGATGTCTCTCTTGGAATCCTGGAACTCGGAAGGCTCGGTCAAAACTTCAGTCCCTGGATGAAAGCCCAGGGCCCTGAACAAACGCTTTGCAGTGACTCAGTTTCATAGCTAAAACAGCTAAAGAATGCTTAAACAATTTAAACAGCTTAAACTCTCTGAACCGAAACAAAAAACATCAAAAAACAAAATGGTTTCAACAGTTTCAACTCTCGGTGGCTGGGGTCCATAGATGGCTTTTTGGCACCTTACTCGCTGAAAAACCCAAAGTTCCCCATATATAGCCTGAGAGAACTCGATTGAACTCAATTTCTTCCTACGTCTTCAAGCATGTCTGGCAGGAGAATCGAAGAGAAACAGTGATGTGAATCTCTGTTTGTTGCATCAGAGTGGCCTGAAGCGCAGCTGGTTGCCTTCAGAAACACACAGAAAAGTCTACACTCCTGTTTCCCCTCGGCAACCGCCCCACAACGGCCAGCAGTCTTGTGGTGTTCACACATGCTTTTACACGTACTTGCTCAACTTCATTGGTGAGGTATCTCATACAATTTTTGTTGTCACAAGTGAAGGCAACGCTCTGGCAATCATTTCAGCATAGTATCATCAAAATCTCAAGTTTCGGCGCCAAACACATCCATGAAATGAAACTTGAACGTACTTGAAGCATGTTGAAACGTTGTCCCTGAATCTATCATACAGCGATATACAGCGTATCTGTACGGATTGTCTTCCAGGCCTTGTCTGTTTTCTGACAACAGCCACTGCCACTGCCACAGCCACCACTGCTACAACCATTGCCTCAGTCGCTGCCACCGAACCTTGCCTCATATTGCCTCATATTGCCTCAGTCCATTCAGTCCATCCATTACTTTGAATATCTTCCTTGCACTCAACACTTGTCTTTGCTTTGCTTGTCTTGAGAAAAAACGATCATTGGGTGAACAATCTTTGTGACTGCTGAAAGCAACTTGATCCTGTGCTGATCCAGAGCCTGTTGTGGACAACACGCCGTGGTCAGAGCACACTTTGCAACATTCCCGTTGTCCCTCACTCCCGGGTCACTCCCCGGTCACTTCCTCTCTGCGTGAGGCTCTCGCCAGAGGAAAGTATCTCGAGACGCGAAATCAGCACGCAAAATAAAGCAAAACCCCGACGAAACCTCATGTGCCAATGAAAAAAGAACATCGTGTGAAATATTATAGTGAACATATTGTAACATATTGTAACATATTGTAACATATTGTAACATCAACCTATATTGTCTAAATAGTGTGACATTTTAACGATTTTTCCTCGCTTGCGCCTTGGCCAAGGCCTGCGCCGCAACGAGCAGCTCCGGGATGTCTCGACCGCTCTTCGCCGCGGCCTCCAAAACGAGAAGAACAGTAGAAAAAAGAAAAGGAAAAGATAATTGAAAGGAATATGAAGGAAATTTGATTGAATAATAAAGATAGATAGGAGAGGAACATGAAGAATTTAGTAAATGAAGAAATGAAGAGGAAAAGGAGACAAAACGGAAACAAAACGGATGTCGCGTCGCTGAAAACGTCTGTCAAAACATGTTGAAAATGCCGATAAACAAGTGTGAAGAATAGTGTGAAGAAAAGTGTGAAACGTAACTCAGCGTTGCAAGAAGTTGCAACATCACAATACACAGAAACAACTGAAACAATGTGAAAGTTGTTGAACAAATTAAGAAACATTGAGCTGTTTCTACCATCTACCCAAATGACCCTGGATAATTCTGGATACGTTTCTCTCTTCAGGTGAATTCTTGTGAATTGTTGGATCTTTGCGATGATGATCCAGTGATGTTTTCTCAATCTTCGGGTTTTCGGGAGAAACATTTCTATGTTGCAATTTATATGTGTTCACAATTCACAATGTTTCACTATATGTTTTCGCTATTTGTTTCAAATATGTTTCAAATACATTGCTTTGTTCGGAAATGATTCGCCTCCAGATTTTGCTCATCGTCTGCCAGCAGAAGAAGCTGCAGAGCCTCGGAGGTGTTCTCCAACTCAGCCTCGACGCGAAGACACGACGAATTGAAACGACAACGACAACAACGACGACAACGACGAACGACAACGACGTTCCATCGTTCCATCGAGCATTCTCAGCCCCGATACACAAAACGCACAAGATGCTGGATGGCAAAAAGTTAAGTTCTGGGCTGTAAAAAAAGTGTTTTTCTTTTGTTTTTTTTGCTACTTTGTATGATTAATTTGTGTAAAGTGTGCAACATCTTTTGTAATTGGATACGTAGTTTCACGGCCGCAAAGGAGATTCCAAATCCTTCTTGGATCAGGTTTGACTGGCACTTTCTCAAGATTGTCTCAGTTGATCTCTGTTACTTTGTTCATTTTGTTCCCAACTTTTAGGATTTCGGGCAAGTTTGACGCTCTTGTGGGCTCAGCTCTTGATTTGGAACGGTTTGAAACGAAGCCAAACAATCAACTTCAATTGAAGGAAGGAGCGTTGAGAACCAGCCCTAAGCATTGATTAAAAACACAATTGGTTCTGAACCATCTTGGAGACTTAAGGTGAGGCCGGCCATTTTTTCTGTAGGTATTGGATTTGGGTTGTTATTCCTCCTGGCGATTTCTTGTGCACATTGCGGATATGTAGTGTCAGGTAGGTAGCCCTTTTATCCAAACCGTGCATGATTTGTCCAGACTTTTTCTACATGTAAGTTCCACCTCTACATTTATATTTATATAATGAGGACTGGATTTGGTGACTCTTTTCCCTTTTGTTGGGTCAGATTCATAATTTTCTGGCCGGTGCGGATTGGCTGGCACATTTTCACCTCTGGAGACTCGTTTGACCGAATAATTGTCAAACAACAAAGATCTGTGATTCAGCCAAACATTCCGCGGGCACGTGTCAGACGTTCACATATTTTCACAGACTTTCACATGTCAGATCTTTCCAGATTCCAAAGACTTCATTTGACTTCATTGGACTTAGCGAGTTGATCACATAATTTTGAGTAAAGTGATCGGTGTGAAGCATGGACTGTGCAGGCAATCCAAGCCATCTTTGCATGTTGGAATGCATTTTTTTTGCCAAAACCTCCAGCTTGGTCAACGCTAAAGGTCGTAGGCACTAACTAGCTTTGAATTAAAAGAAATACACTCCTAAGGCCACGCTCACTTGTGAAAGTATAGAGAACAAGTTTCCAATTATTGCTTGATGATATTTCACATTGAGAGTAGTCCACACTGAAAGTGTCTCACACTGGAGAGCCTCACATTGAGAATAGTTCACACTGAGAGTCATTCACACTGAGTTTGAGCTGTGTAGTCTTCAACCGTTTCCTTTGTGAAAAGGGGGCTGGTAAAGATGGGCTTGTTGGATGATTCGTTCCCGTATCTCTCTGTTATATCTGTCGAATGGGATTTGGGGTGCCGATGGGTCTGTGTTTCTTATCACTTCCCATGCTTTTTGCATATTGTTACTGGTCCAAAACTGTCTGGGTCTTCCGACTCTTCGCATTTCAGTTTCTCTCGGGAGAGCGGATGTTGTTGAAAAAGTTGCTTGGTGAAGAGGGTGGTTTCTGTCTCTCCTGAGGATGTGTCCGAGTAATTTGAGTTTTCTTTCCTCCAAAATTTCGGTCAGAGGCTTGATTTTTCGATCGAAACCTGTAGTCGGCGCGTTAAGGGTTTCATTTGTCCTTCGGTATACGTATTCATTGGTGTTGTGGCGTTGTATGTATGTTGTGTGTAATTTCAGAATCTTTCGTAAGCCTTTGAGCTGGAACGTATTAAGAAGACGTCCAGCTGACTCAGTTGGTTCCAAGGTTTCTAGGCCGTAGAGAACTTTGCTAGTAATTACTGCATTGAAAATGCGCAGTTTCCAAGATCTGTTGCATTGCGCTTTTCCCCAGAAAATGTCCAATTTTTTCAAAATGGCCATCGTAGCTGAGATTCGTCGTCTTATTTCATGTTTGGGATTGACCGTGCGAGTGATAGAAGCTCCTAAGTAAGTAGATTCATCGGTCGACTTCATAGGATCCCCATTTTGGAAAACGATAGAACCGCGACAGTTGAAAGCAATGTAGCAACATTTTGACTTGTTTAGATTGAGGTCCAAATATTGAGATTCTTCTTCGATAAGGTGCAAGTATTGGTTAGCACTGGCAAAGTTTTTGGTCAGAATTAATGTGTCATCTGCGTACAGCAATTCGTGGAAATTAATTCCTTGGGAAGTTTTTGCGTAGCGTGGGTCGTTGAACCTGCGGTGAACATCATGAAATAGCACGTGCATTGTCACAATGAATAGGTATGGGCTGAGGGGACAGCCTTGCCTGATTCCAGTACGTTGGCTCAACCATGACAAAAATTTATCTCGGTGCATCACTTGAAACATCGGTTTCTGGTAAATAGCTTTTATGGCATCAAGGATTTCAACTGGAATACTCATTCTGTGGAGGGATTGGAACATTTTTTCATGACTAATTTTATCAAAAGCTTTTTCCCAGTCTAGGAAGATCAGAACTAATTTATCGTGTCCAAAAATGTTCCAAACAGCAGTTGCAATGCAAATATTTGGAGCGATCAAAATTCAAACCTGAGAAGGTCACTGCATGAGAGAAGAGCCAACGCTTGTCCTGCAGGGGCTATGACGCTGCGAATGAACGTTGGGACTGTCCCTTCTAGCCTTCACTAGTGTTTATTCAAGGATCATGATCATGCAGTAGAAAAGTGTAATTACCACTCTGATGTACACTGATGCGTGTACACTAATGCACGCTGTATCATCTTGCTTTGCTGCATTGGAAAGTATCTTACGGAGCACTTTGTCTAAATCCATCGTCTGTCTACATACTGTCTCTCATAGCTAATCCGTTGTGATCTGCCATGGAAAATTGTGGTAAACATGGGAAAACTCGGTGGAAACGATGTTTTCGGTTTGACGGTTTGACGATTTGACGACGTGCACGTTTGATGTGACGTCGCCTGCAGTTTGGCGGCGTAGGCTGGAACAAGCTCATTCAAGGCCCCCAGAGCAGTATCCAGCGCAGCATTCTTGGAACCTGCTCGAAGAAACACATGGATAAGACATTTGTGGAATTACTGAAACATGGTAAGACATTCTGTTAACAGCTAACACTTTTACAATGTTTTGCACAAGATGGCAAAAGAACAGAAACTGGATTGAGCATAATCGACATGTTGCCTGAGACATGTGCAAGCGAACTTGCGGATTTGTGACATGTGTTGTCAACACATTGGAGACCTCGCTCAGCAGTCAAAGACTGCACAACAGTCAGAGTATGCTCACATTGCTGCAGCTCTCCTGCCCCAAAGTTTGACAAGAACGATGCCGACATCAAACCAAAATTCCGATTGCACCGCTCAAAATAAAACGCATAAATCAACTTCCAATCTGTTCCAAGCCTGTTCCAAACTCCAAAATTAAATCGATACAGCTTTGTTCGAACCTTTGAAGTGGAAATGTTATCGCAATGCCTTCGCATATATCATAGTTATAATCATAATTATAACCATTAAATAGGTTTATCATGTTTTATCATGTTTTATGATTATCCAATGGCATCTTTTCATCCGAAAGCGCTAGGACCATTGAAGCATTGAATACGTACTTTGCGTATTACGAGGAAAAGACTCTCCCCGTCTCAGGTGAACGATGTGAAAAAACATGTAGAAAAAACCTGTAGAATTTGTTCGAAAAAACCTCATCCATGTCATCCTCTCAAGGTTTGCAGTTTCTACGTTTCTACATACCAATGTTACCAAAGTTACCAATGTTACCAATGTTACCAGGTCCTTCTACGCAAAAATCCACTTGAATGTCCTGGGCAGCGAAATGAAAAGGTATGCAAATGTGGTCATGTGAAGCTCCTAGTGTCCTAACTATTAAGCATGTTGTAGAGGCTTAAGAGTAAAGAACATGCTGCATCGTTTTCAATAGGTTCTGCAAATGCCTACGCATTATTGAATTGGTAGAATTGAAGAAGACTTCAAGCTCATTTGGGTCGTTTAAGCTAGCAATCACTGAAAAAAAATGAGTGCATACCTTCAACCATGAAGTGTCATTGAAATCATTGACTACATCAACATGCAAACACAATGGCAAATGGCAAGATATGGATGATATGGCAAGTAATTTGCACATCGTTTCTTTCTACACTTGTTGGGTAACTTTTGGGTAGCATGATGTAACATTGATGTAAATGGATCATAATGGATGTAACAAATTTGTAACATGTCAGATCATGTCAGCAGCCACACCTCTGGGACCGAGACTTTGGCCTCGACTTTGGGCTCCTGGGGCGTGACATCACATGGCACCCGGCGGCAAGACATGCATTCAGTGCAGACAATGCAATCCTTGCAGACAATCCATTTATGATTGCATAATGAGTTGCATATGAATTGCAAGATGCATGATGCATAATGCATTGCATGTTGCATTGCATGTTGCATTGCATGTTACATTTCTCGGCCTGACATGTCACGACTCCAGTGACTCCAGGCTCTAAACTCTCTCGATTAGCCTAGAGTACCCTCGGCACCGGGACAGCAACTTGCGTCTCGATTCCGCACGGGTCTGCCTCGAAGCTTGGAAGATCTTGGAAGATCTGGGAAGAAGTGATGAAGTCCCACAAATGTCTGGGACCTTTGTTTCCTTTGTTTCGCCGTTGACATGATGTTGACATGTTGTCATTGTAAAAATGTCTGACTTTGGGGCGCTTCGCTGATTTGACACGCCCGAAAGGGACAGTTTGCGACCCGGCCTTGGGATCCTGATGTTGGATGCCCTGGCTCGGCGAAGTTTTGCTGCTTGGATCTGCTTGGATCTGCTTGGCAATGTCCGATATATGTCCGATATTGTCGGATTTTGTAAATCATGTCGGATAACAAATGGATTACGCGAGCTGTGACTAAAGAGATCTATAGAGTCTAGGCTCGTCAACTCTGTGCGCTACGCCGCTACTCTGTGCGCCTTGGGAGCAAAACCAGCTTCGCCCCTATGCTACACTTCCTATTCGTCTTATTCGATTCCAAGCTCCTGTCAGCCCTCAAAGCGCACGGCAAGGAAACAGAAGGCGCAACATGCAATTTCTGTGACCATTTCTGTGACAATCAAATACACTTGATAAAAATAATAATAATATATCATAATAGACCAATATCACAGAAATTTGCAGAATATCACAGAATATGTAGCCTTGCGAAATTAGAGCCACAGGTCAGGAACAATGTATCCACTGGCATTGGCTATTTCAAAAAGTGAGGCATTCTACCCAGCTCTTTTTTTCCAAACCTCAAACCAAACCAACAAACAGATTCCTCCATCTTTCCTCTTTAGGTTCATCTTTTCCATGCAAGTTTTTCGACCTCTCCGACTTTCACTTTCAGTTTTGAAAATTGTAACCGGCAAATGGGGAACCTGTTGCTGATTGCTTGGCAGCATATAGATTTGATAAATGATGATAAATGCAATTCACCATTGCAATCAAATGTGTCTGACGCTTTGTTGGTGTCGCTGGCGGTGACGGACGCGTGTTTGTCTGCCATTATCTTTGCATGTTTATATTTGCAAACAGAGCTTTTTAGCTTGCAGCATTTTGTAGCATTTCTATCTGATTGCTCACAGCTGGACGAGAAACAGCTGGTAGTCCAGGGTTGTTCTCAAAAGCTAAAAGAGATTGTTAAAACTGTTTTCTTGTTCTCAAAAGAGATTGCTAAAATGAGGTGAAAGATGGTGAAAGATGGTGAAAGACTGGCAAAATGACAAGAACTGCCAGAAAGCCAAGAAAGGTAGGAGAAACAACAGAAAAAATATGAAAAACAGCCAAAACCTCAAAAGGATCAAAAAGGATCAAAAAAGGACGTCGCGGCGTTGCCTATGTCGGACAGTGTCGGTACCAGAATCTTAAGCGTGGGGCCTGGGACACCTGGGCCTGGGACACCTGGGACTGGTGATGCGAAGATTTTCAAATTGCACAAAACGTAGAGCATAGAGCTGTACCGTATAGAGTTCTAAAATTCTCCAATTCTACTCTCTAAATCTGCTGGGCTCCACGGCATAGTTCTAAGGAGACGTATAGAGCTCTACTAGGTGTGTTCTATTTATATATAGAATTTCACATGATGTACATTGTGAGTATATTCGTATTGTGCATATCCATGTCCATAATCTGTTTGTCTGTCTAATTCTGTCTAATTCTGTCTAATTCTGTCTAATTCTGTCTTGAAATGTCTTGAAATGTCTTGAATAGACAGAATTAGACAGATGATATTCAAGACAAGACATAGACATGTCTTCAGAAGACCTGTCCCTGCCGTTTTGCCCCGGCACCTTGGCGGCGAGAGACGTCTGTGTCTGTCTGTATCGCCAAAAGAACCAGGCTCCGACGACTCCGGCCGACACCGAGCCCACCAAGACAGGAACGACGGAGTTCCACGACTTCGAAGACGGAGACATTCTCGTGTTTTGAAAAAAAACACGAGAAATTCACCAGAAAGGAAGCAAACTAAGCAAACTAAGCAAACTAAGCAAACTATGACCAATTTGACTCTTCGACTTGCAACTTCTTACAACTCTTACAACTCTTGGGTGGTTTTCACATGTTTCGACATGTTTTGACACGTTTCAGGATGGCCTTGATGGCCTTGATGGCTTTGAACCAAAAACTGAGCGGCACTGAATGCCATGGGATTGGTTTGTTTTTATGCTTTGATCAGATTTGATCAGTGCTTCAATGTACTTCCTGCAATGTGTCTCACATAACACATGTATAGAATTGGATGCATTGAATGCAGAAACGATGCTCTTGACACCAGCTATTCTCGCAGCGTCCTGAAAGCGCTCACGAAGCAAGGCCATCATTTCGTCGGGGAAACACGCCTGTCGTGCTGCATGACACATGCGCAAAAGTTCAGCCATGGAAGTAGCAGTGAAAACTGTCGTCCGGTTTGCCAAATGGAGTCGCATGGAGCTGCATGGGTTGCATGGAGTCGCATGTGGACTTCAGATGGCAGTGTTGATTCTTTTCAAGCTGACACCGAATCCTTCTATTGCTCTTACAATAAGGAAGAAAGAAGAAGAATTGTCATGATTCAATTTCTCTCCGATTCAAGCATGTGTTTCAAATTGTTTCAATATAGAGAGATTGAAGCGGACACAGCGGAGATTGAAACGGAATTATCAGGATAAGTCAGGAGCCATGGCACTGCCGACCTCGTCGAAACTGTTGACGTTTGGCACTGGGTGCTGATCACCTAGGGGCAGCTCAGCTCTAAGCCTTGATCAACTCGTGATCAAATCATCAACGCAAAAAACATCAAAAAACACTTGAAAACACAAACGCAAACAACAAGACTCTTGACAAACATGTCTTACAGTCTTACAGATTTGTTTGAAGACAATTTTGGAAGCCAAATCATCAACGCTGTCTTGCAACCAGTCTGCTCCGTGCCACTTCGGCCGGCAGAGTCAGTCACCCGAGTCAGTCACCCCAAATTTCGGTGTCGAGAACCCCACACGGCAGAATCAGCCACCACTGCACAACAGCAGGGAAGCAGGGAGACCATGACAGAAAATCACAAGAGTCGGTCACCCCTGCAAGCCAGAAGGAAGATCAAGGAACCCATGGGGAAAAAAAAACACAACAAAAACTCCCTCAAAAAACCTAAAGCAACCACACACACACATTAAGACCCTAAAACAAACCTTAACGAAACCCTGCATTAACCCTAAACCAACCATAAATAAAATCTAAACCAAACCTGAATTAACCCAAAACCAAACCTAAATAAACCCTAAACCAAGCCTAGGAAAAACAAACCAACGCCGAGTAAAACCTAAATAGACCTTAGAACAAACCCTGACAAAACCCTACATCAACCCTAACCCTACCCTACAACCCTAACCAACCCTAAAAAACCGTAAGCCAAGCCTAAACCCCAAACATCCCCAAACCAACACGAAGTCAACCCTAAATAAACCCTCAAACAAACCATGAACCCTACAGAAACCCTAAACACCCTGAAACAACCCTGAACCAGCCCCAAATAAACCCTAAACCAACCCTCAACCCTGGTGAAACCGTTAATAACTCTAAAACATTCTAAAACCAACGAAAAGGCCATTATTGGCTATGTGGAGGATGATGGACTTCGACGAGGGGGGTGAGTGACTCAGGGTGGTCTGTCTCTGCTAGTGGGTGACAAATTTCGTCTAGTCTCGATCTCACTTCGCCCTGATTTCACATCGAGTCAATATTCTACAACCATCGACAACCTCGATGAAATGGGACCTGCGTATGACCGTGTTGTGGCTGATTAGATCTCGGCGGCAGTTCAAATCAGGGTTTCGATGAGATATGTTTGTACACATGTTTTTCGAACGGATTCACTCTCACAAGGGGGAATACCCAACAAAACTCTGAAGTAAAGTTTGGAAATCTTTCAAATACTATTTATGTTCAGGTGGCTCAAAGATTTGACCCCCATTCGATCCCATGTTTTGTGATCAGAACATGGTTTTCCTTGATGTTGAACCAAATCCACCTCCTACCTCTGCCAGGAATACCGCGGAATACCATTGTTTTGGGGTTTATTAAACCATATCAATATGGGTGTGTCTGAAAATGGGTGACACGCCAAAGAACCATTTTCATAGGGAACATGATAGAAACAAGGTTTTGAACAAATTGGAAACTCGCGAGGTCTATTTGTCTATTCAAAGATTATAGAATTTGTTGAGGTCTATTTGTCTATTCAAAGATGAATAGAAGAATTTGTTTTATCCCTAGAAAATGAATTTCTCGATTGAAATCAATCTTTGCATTTCGACGACGTTGTTTTCAATTGTTTTCCTGCAATTACCTATACATAAATTATCTCCATGTTCGGGTAGTGATTCAAACTTATTCTCAGTATGCTTCAGGACGGTCACCGATCTTTTCGACCTCCTCTGGAGTACGGCTCACTGCCGCTCCATTCGCACACTCCTCTCCACAGTCGCAACTTCAACACGTTGGACTTTCAAATTTTCATCGCTTGTGATGTCTTGAGACATTTCTTGAGGCTTTCAAATTTCGATTTTTCTATGAACTAGTGGGTAAGGTTGTTTGGCTGCAACTGGATTTTTTTCCTCCACATATTTGTGTGGGGTTCTTGTTTTTTGCTGTGCACTCCTGTCCGTCCATCCCGTCCGTCCTCCGTCGTCCGTCTCCCACACAACTCTCTCACACACAACTTACTCACTCCTAGCCCCCGCGCAACTTACTCACACACACACACAATTCCCACACAAACAACCACGTCCACGGCGCCAACGGGACCCAAGCACACCACCAGAGCCAGCCCAGTGCCATAAGCGCCACGCCTGCCACACAGAATGCACGTCGATGCTTCCAAATGCCACGCCTGCCTCGCACACACACACACAACTTGCTCACACACAACTGGGGCTGGCAGGCGTGGCACTTGGCGACATCGACCTTCTGGGTTTTCTCTGGTGGTGCGCTTGGGTCCCCGTTGGCGCCGTGGACGCCGCGGTTGTGTGTGTGCGTGGGCGTGCGCGCGTGCGTGCGGGCGGGCGGGCGGGCGGGCGGGTGTGGGTGTGGGTGTGGGTGTGGCAGGTGTGGCAGGTGTGGCACTTGGAAGCAGGCGTGGCACTTGGAAGCAGGCGTGGCACTCGGCGACATCGACCTTCATGTTGTGTGGCGGGCATGGCACTTATCGCACTTCATACGTACACCCTCCACCATCTTCAAAAAACTCACACGTACTTTTTCAAATGCATAGTATAAACCTTCTCACACACAACCTTCTCACACGGAACTCTCTCACTCGATCTGTCTTCCGTCATCTTCTGTCTCTTTCCTGCCTTTCTAATTCCGAGAATCAATGTTCTAATACTTTGGCGCCGAGAAAGAAACCATCTCAAGCCTGTGCAGGAAAAGGGCAAAAGACTTCATGAATCAGTCGTAAAAGAATTCTGCTCTGTCGTCGGATGCTTGTGCACAAGACCAAATTACACCCCTGTAGAAAGCAATGCGGTGTCGTCACCACATGTTGCAACCGTACATGGGTGATTCGACACCCTTTGACACCCGCCAGGCGGACTACGAAGCAAAACAAGAAGTTTCCGCGAAGGCTTCAAGTTTGAGATGCGTTGGTCAATCTGGTCAATTTGCGAATATCAAAAGATATCAACAGCCCAGAAGTTTTTGCGGCAAAACCAACAGGCAAACACGTTGGAATGCGTATGAGCATTTGAATTTCCTGAGTTAGCTCTTGCTATCGTTTTTCCTCTGCCCATCAAAGTGCCCTATTTTGTCTGTCTCTGCTCAATTTTGTTTTCTTCGCCCTGCTCTTTTTTCCTCTTGCTATTTGCGTCTTTTCCTTTGCTTCTGCTCTTATTTTACTTCATCCTTCCCATTGGCCTTTTGTCCGTTGCGGTCGTGATCAATGATGAAACTGTTTCACATAACTGAAAGCACTTTGGGTCCTATAGTTGCGGACTTTGGGTCGTTTGATTCTATGTATGGAATGGCAGCAGCAGGCTGCATGAACACACGGTGTGGAATTGCCGCGCACTGAGCGAAACACGGTGAGGACAATCGTCCCCAGAACACTGCGTTCCAACAGGCCGCTGATTCATTTTGTAAAAAGCCGCAAAGCGCACGCTGCACCCATGCGAGCCTGACTTTCGCATCAATCCTCCTGGTGGAGGAAAAAGCTGCCAACAAGTTTGAAAAGGCAGAGATGAAGACCACTCTGAGCATTTTCTAATCTACAGTAAAACCACCTCGGCAGATTCGGCGACCTTCCTGAATTAAGGTGAGCAGCACCAGGACCAAAATACAACGCGCCAGTCCTCTGTAAACGCGCGCTGCAATGGCGCTCTGAAGTTTGTTTCCCATCACCCCTGCTGTTCAATGTAACTACTTGACAAGGAGGTTACAATGTAGCATCAAGAGCGTCTTGGAAGGTGCTTGACAAGGAGGTTACAATGTAGCAACGTAGCATCAAGAGCGTATTGGAAGTTGCTTGAAAACGATGTTACACAACGTAGCATCAAGAGCGTCTTGGAAGTTGCTTGAAACGGATGTTACAACGTAGCATCAAGAGCGTCTTGGAAATTACTGGGCAAAGTTCAGTTGCTTGACAAAGTTTAGAAGGCCCAACAGGAACGCAAGGCAGAAGAACGTTTTTGCCCCCCCCCCAACCCCTCCAAAGCCAACCCCAAACCCATCCCGAACCCACTCGCTCCCAAACGTGACAAGCGTGACTCAAAATGAAGATAGAATCGTTGTTACACAGGGGGAATGGATCGCCCTGTCCGCGCGTTTACAGGGGACTGGAGCCAAAATTAAGATACCGTTTTACAATTTTTACAAACATGATCTTCAAGCCACTTCGCCATGGATGATGAACACTTTTTGGTACAGCCAAACTGTGTGGACAGCTGGCTATGAGCTGACCAGTCTTGCCAACATCTCCCCCCAAGCAGTCCTGCCAGCCGCCTGTAAAGATGTGTCATGAGCAGAGGAACAAGAATTAACGAAAGGATGAGGTTTCCACCTTGGTGATTTTCATGGGTCTCAGCTCTAAACACATTCTGCCACACCCCTCGGTTCGCATTACTCCAAGCGATTCTGTGCATGTCATCATGTCAGTCAATCTCATTCGGTCATCACACAGTTTATTCCATATGTCACATTCCAAAACATATGTATATATATATATATAAATATAGAGAGAGATACATGTAATAATATATATGTATGTATATGCCACATGAATATACATATATTCATGGATTTTTTTTCCATATGTCATGCGTCATGCCATGTTGCTTTGTTCCAGTCCTGGCCTTCAGTTGATTCGGTCGAGTACCCGGTTCTCCTTTGCCAAGGCGCCATTGAGCAATGCCCGGTGCGCCGGAGACCAGCTGCGAGGCAAATTCTAAAATTCGCCGCTGTTCTCTTCGTTGAACTCTCTTTTCAAATTTCGGACATCTCAAGACAAAATCTTGAATCACAATATGATGTTAATTTCAGACTGTGTGTTCCTTTGAAAGTCCATGTTGTATGTTGTTGCATTGCACCTGCCATCGAGAGCCATCACTGCACAAATAGCTAAGGGAACACAATCCAGGTCTCTTTTCGCACTACAGAGGCAACCGCATTGAGACATTTTTGTTGAAACGCCTGACATCATGACTCTTCTATAATATGTTTGCTTTCGAAGACTTTCCTACATGGTCCTAATGTGAGGATTTGTTCGGATCACAACCTCAAGCAACAGTTCTTCACAAACGGCAAAAGAAGGCAAAAACCTTTTTCTGGTTGAGAATCGCAGGCCTCCCAACTTCAAACTTCAGCCAAGTTCGTGCATTGTTCGGCCGAAAAAGACTGAAAATGAATGCGTTGCAAGACTCAGTTGAAGTAAAGAATGTTTCTAGATGAAACATCTATCTGCCGATCTGAAACTGGTTTCAATTTCAGAAGTTCAATCGTTGCAGAGAAAAATGCCACAAACAGGATTTGTGAGAAAAGTCTGGAAGTGATTTCGATTGGATGCAAAGTGCAGCAAGATGAAAGCTGATGAGAAGACAGTGAACTTCATGTTTACTTTTGACTGAAGAGAATGCTAAGATACACGAACGAGTCGAATGAGGTTTAAGTAAATGAAAAATACTCAAAGACTGGAAATCAACGAAATCAAGGTGAATAATTAAAAAAAATTGTATGTTATTGTGGTTTGCTTCTATTTGCTTCTTACGTTTCTTCGAAAACCAGAGTAACTAGAGGAGAAATTTGGCGTTGGGCAGCTGCGTAAGGCGTGAGTGCAGCAGGCAGAAATCGTCTGCGGAGCTGCACTGCACATCCACGCCTCAGCGCAGCACCAGCACAGCAAACACAACACGAGCGCAGTGCTGTTGCGATAGGTATGACAAAAAACACAGAAAAATTAAAGGAACGGATAACCCCACAAGTCAACTTCTTCAAATAATAAGCATGAAAGGTTGTAGCAGGGACGGGGAAAGAAGGTAAGGGAAAGGAGGCGGTGAAGGATCGAGAAGTTAAAACAGTTGTGAGTGACAAAGTGGAATGTGAAAGATGGTGTGTGACGAAGAAAGATGGTGTGTGTGTGTGTGACAAAGCAGTGTGTGAAAGATGGTGTGTGTGTGTGTGAAAGTTGTGTGTGAAAGAGAGCGTGTGACAAAGTTGTGTGTGAAAGATGGTGTGTGACAAAGTGGTGTGTGAAAGATGGTGTGGCGAAAGATGGTGTGTGACAAAGTTGTGTGTGTGTGTGAAGGATGGTGTGGTGAAAGATGGTGTGTGACAAAGTGGTGTGTGAAGGATGGTGTGGTGAAAGATGGTGTGGGTGAAAGTTCTGTGTGAAAGAGAGCGTGTGACAAAGTTGTGTGAAAGACGGTGTGTGACAAAGTGGTGTGTGAAAGATGGTGTGTCAAAGATGGTGTGTGACAAAGTTGTGTGAAAAATGGGGTGGTGAAAGATGGTGTGTGGAAGATGGTGTGGTGAAAGATGGTGTGTGACAAAGTGGTGTGTGAAAGATGGTGTGGCGAAAGATGGTGTGTGACAAAGTTGTGTGTGTGTGAAGGATGGTGTGGTGAAAGATGGTGTGTGACAAAGTGGTGTGTGAAGGATGGTGTGGTGAAAGATGGTGTGTTACAAAGATGGTGTGTAAAAGAGGGTGTGTCAAAGATGGTGTGTGACAAAGTGGCGTGTGAAAGATGGTGTGTGTGTGTGTGTGGCAAAGTTGTGTGTGAAAGATGGTGTGTCAAAGATGGTGGGTGACAAAGTGGTGTGTGAAAGATGGTGCGTGAAAGATGGTGGGTGACAAAGTTGGGTGTGAAAGATGGTGTGTGAAAGATGGTGTGTGACAAAGTGGTGTGTGAAAGAGGGTTTGTCAAAGATGGTGCCACGCCTGCCACGCAAAACCAACGTAGATGTGACCAAGTGCCACACCGGCCACGTGAAACGAAAGTGGATGTCACCAAGTGCCACGCCTGCCACGCAAACAGCCGCGGCGTCACGGGCGACAAAACCGGGCCCAAGGGCGCCACCCAATGCCATAAGTGCCACGCCTGCCACGCAAAACCAACGTAGATGTGACCAAGTGCCACACCGGCCACGTGAAACGAAAGTGGATGTCACCAAGTGCCACGCCTGCCACGCAAACAGCTGCGGCGTCACTGGCGACAAAACCGGGCCCAAGCGCGCCACCCAGTACCATAAGTGCCACACCTGCCACGCAAAACGACGGTGGATGTGAGTTTGTGCCACGCCTGCCACGTGAAACGAAGGTCGATGTCACCAAGTGCCACGCCTGCCACGCAAACAGCCGCGGCGTCACGGGCAACAAAACCGGGCCCAAGCGCGCCACCCCATGCCATAAGTGCCACGCCTGCCACGCAAAACGAAGGTGGATGTGAGTTTGCGCCACACCGGCCACGTGACACGAAAGTGGATGTCACCAGGTGCCACGCCTGCCACGCAAACAGCCGCGGCGTCACGGGCGACAAAACCGGGCCCAAGGGCGCCACCCAACGCCATAAGGGCCACGCCTGCCACGCAAAACGACAGTGGATGTGAGTTTGTGCCACAGCTGCCACGTGAAACGAAGGTGGATGTCACCAAGTGCCACGCCTGCCACGCAAAGTGGCGCGGCGCCCCGGGCGTCACAGGCGACAAATCCGGGCCGAAGCGCGCCACCCAGTACCATAAGTGCCACGCCTGCCACGCAAAACGACCGTGGATGTCAGATTGTGCCACGCCTGCCACGTGAAACGAAGGTGGATGTCACCAAGATTCACCAAGTGCCACGCCGGCCACGCAAACAGCCGCGGCGTCACGGGCGACAAAACCGGGCCCAAGGGCGCCACCCCATGCCATAAGTGCCACGCCTGCCATTCAAATGTGACAAAGTTGTGTGTGTGTGAGTGTGTGTGAAGTTATTGTATGTTAAGTTTGTGTGTGTGTGAAGTTATGGTATGTGAGAGTTGCGTGTGTGTGTGTGTGTGAGTGTGTGTGTGTGTGAAGTTATTGTATGTTAAATTTGTGTATGTGAAGTTATGGTATGTGAGAGTTGTGTGTGTGTGGGTGTGGGTGAAGTTATTGTATGTTAAGTTTGTGTGTGTGTGAAGTTATGGTATGTGTTATTGTGTGTGAAGTTATTGTATGTTAATTTTGTGTGTGTGTGAAGTTATGGTATGTGAGAGTTGTGTGTGTGTGAAGCTATTGTATGTTAAATTTGTGTATGTGAAGTTATGGTATGTGAGAGATGGTATGTGACACTTGTGTGTGTGTGAAGTTATTGTATGTTAAATTTATGTATGTGAAGTTATGGTATGTGAGAGATGGTATGTGACAAAGTTGTGTGTGTGTGAAGTTATTGTATGTTAAGTTTGTGTGTGTATGTGTGGAGGTGGCGGCGGGCGGCGGGAGGCGGAGGAGGAGCCCGGGATACAGAATCAAAAACAAGAACCCCACACAAAGTTGTGGGGAACTAAGTCCCGTCTCCCCTTGTACTATAGCTTGTTTCCCATTCAAAAGTCTGTACTTTGACGACTTGGCTTGAGACGAAAAATTGAATTCCATGGCAAAACTTTCCAGATCGCAAAAAGGGAGACAAATGCAAGAGAAGTAGGTGAAGGGCCATCCAAGGACAAGCTTGGGAACACCG